TCCCTACATTTAAACACAATTTTCTATATTTCAGTTAGTGTCCTTTTCCTCATGTCCTTTCACTGGGTATCACTGGTTCCATTTTTTTTTTGTCATTCCTCCCCCCTCCCATAGTCACAGAGTCAGAGTGTGTGACAGCCATAGAGTGGCTGCTAAACTTGAATTCCAGTTACAGGTAGGAATTTTTACTCATAGATTTCAGTATTGGCTCTTGTACAATTTTTTTTTTCCCTTGAGTCATGAAAATGAGAGCAGGAAACCACCTTTGTAAAAAATGGTCCAGGTGAAGTATTTCCTTGTTTACCCATTTCTTCCAGATCTCCTTTTCTCCTTTTGATTTTTATGTTGTCAGAGTTGCCATATAGTTTATTTACTTATGAAGACATTACAGATGGAGAACTTAAAGAAAACTTCTCAACTTTTCCTCAGATGTGCTATGTGCACAAAGAAGGCTTTTCATTACAGTGTTTTTGGTAAACAAGTGCTGCCAACGGAAGAGAGGAACAGGAAGCCTCAAGCTCATGCAATACTGTCTAAACAGGTACCCAAGGAATTTGTTTTCTAGGATAACCTGAAAAGGGGAGGTGTGTTGTCTCCTGTGAACTGCTCACCTAACCACTTACAAACAGCTTATCAGTACAAAACATCAATATTCAAAGTAAATAAAAACATCTCTCATGCAGCAATACACTTCAGTTAGAGTTTAATTTAAAAACCATAGCCAAACCTATTGACTTCAGGCTAAGCATACATTTACATGTTCTGCTGAATATGGACAGTTTGCTGTATCTGAGCTCTACTTCCCAAATGGCTACAGCCACCTCCTAGTCATCAATTTCTCTGTCAGTGTTAAGACTGTCAGTGTTAGGAGTGCAGTAGTATCACCAAGCCCCAACTGTCGGGGTGCTATACAAACAGTAGGACATAAAGGTAGTTCTTACTCCCAAAGAGCTTATTATCCAAGTGCAAGATGGATGAAGCTACATGTTAGAAATTTCTGATCTAAAAGCTACTCGCAATGAACTTAATATAACATTGTTATATATGCTAATATATTATTAAAGAAAGGGTTTAGAATTCAAGTAACTGAAGAATGACAATTGAGGCACAGCCCACAGGTCTTCAAGGAAATACTTTAATCTTTCAAACACATAGCTACATTGTTAGTTTCAAATGTTATGAAGCACTCAGAACAGGACAGCTTCATCCTTCTCTGGCTTCAACTGAAGAGGACTTCAGGGATGCAGAAAAGTATCAATAAGTACAGATTCATA